GAGAGGGGAGGGGGGCTATTTTGTAAGCGTTTATTCAAGAACGGTGGAGGAATCGAAAAAAAGGGAACGAAGCAAACAGCCATTAGGCGAGCTGAAAAAATTCAGAAATGCTGTCAACGCACGAAGAAATTCGAATACAACTCAAAATCAGTGTTGAAAAGCATTTTTTTTTCAAAGCTTTTAGATTGCAGAGCTGGATGACGTTAACAATTCGTTTGTTTTAACGTATTGACTGGTGTCGAGGCTCGGGGTGCTGATATCCCACCGCTGCCACCAGTTGTTGTGATCCCGGGGTGCTGTGGTAGCGTGGTGTAGCTTCGGATTGAGGAAACGAGCGCTTACAAGATGGTGATACGAAAAACAAACAAGGTTTATGGCACTATTTACAAATATTTACAGCATGAAGTTAAGAGTTCGCAAACCACGAACGTGGTGGTTGAACCTTTTTTTGGTTCAGAGCGTTCACAAACTACGAACGTGGTGGTTGAACCTTTAGTTGGTTCAGAGCGACGTCCTGCACTCTGCGGCGCCGTTATAAGCCCTGTCGGGCTCCTCCTTCTTCAGTGGAACACCAATCACATACACACACAACAGGTGAGGGGTACGAGCATGCACGGCGCACGTGAACAGCCAATTTCGAGTCAAGATCACTGCACTTAAAGGTGGCGCCAGAGAGTCTCTTGCTCGTCGTGTATGTCGCTGGTCGAGGGGTTCCAAGCTTCGGACAGCAGACATCAAACGGTCCGCCAATCTGTCCGCTCAATTAGCAGGACACTTTGTGGCGGCGGTCGCCGTTTCTTCAAAGGAATACGCTCTTTGTTGTCCCCTCCGGAACGGCTTACAGCTTCGTGGCGACAGGACGTCTCATCCGCCGGCTAGCAGGGACAATAGCTGGCGAGCATAGACATTCGGCGAGTCGGCTACTTGTTTGGGGATTAAAAGAGCGCCGCTCCCCCGTCATCTCTGGACGCTGGTTCCGAGAAAACTGGAGTTCCAGGCGTGGGAACGCGGCCCGGCTACGCTTCTCAGCGACAGCATGGCGCCTGCTGACGCCGGTCATAAACAGCTTCCCCCTCGCCAGATGAGTCACGGCGGGCAGCGGTTCAACACTGCTGCTCGCAGGGACGACGAAAGGGTCCGTAGTCGAATCCCAAGAACTCGCCTTCGCTTGTGGCATGGTCTGAGTAAAGGCCGAATCTTCGACACCGTTTCTGCAACTGGACCACATGCACAAGCAAGCACTCGGCCCCCTTCGAACAAACCAAGCCAAAAGAGGGATGACAACCAATTTTAATTACTAGCTTTAACAAAAGCTCACTCTCAGAACTCTCAGGACTCACTTGAGCCGAAAAACCAGACGTGCTACCTTACAAATTTACATTAGATGCACGAAAAAAACTAAAATATCAATTTTGATACAGAAAGAGCATACCTAGATAGATTAGAAAGAGCGACGGAGCACGCCAGCGTTTCCATTCAATTTGCCCTTTTCCTAATGCCAAAATGATATTTTCGAAGAATCAAGCTCCGCCTCACAAGGCGACTGTTCTTCGATGTCATGGTTTGCAGCCAAGGGGACAATGACCTGTATCTACTTTAAATTTAGCCCTCCCCTGAGATAACACTGCCACTGATGAATGCTCCACACAATGCAGGCGCACTCCTTTCCTGAAGCGCAGTATGTTATCTCACGAGAGCCCAAACTCTGGCTCAAGTAGAACGCATCATACTCGTTGCCACTGTCGTCGAGACATATAACGGCAGACTCTTTCTTTTTGTCGCTGACTACTTACACGGCCCTGTCCTGCTGAGAGCATCAGTCAGGAACTCGGATTCAGTGAGCGCTAATTTTGTCCGAACGTCCGTCTTTGTTTACGGCCGCCCGTAATTGTCTACCACTGAGACATAAAGTTCACCAGCCTCCCGCAACCTTAACCTAAGCTGTGACCAAATGGTCTACCTCACGGTTAGGGAAAGCTTGAGGATCTGCTCATGATCACTAGATCAATCATTCTTCAACAAAAGTAACAAACACTGCCTTCTAGCAGGTTAGTTCGGTTAGTTCGGTGCCTTTGCTAACACCCTTGATTAAAAAACAAAACACTGAGTTCTTTTGAGCGCTTTCAATTCTTCTCATTCTTACGGCGCTGCAAAATTCATGGCACTACTAACCAAACGCTTTGGCCTTCACACATGGTCTAAACGTTCATCCTTACATTACGTTGCAACACACCGTGTACAACACAAAAATAATGCTAAGTGCAATACTCATCAAATGCACCTCACAATAATTGCATAGGGTTTCGCTAAACTGTGCACCAATGGCTCTCAATTCTCATAACGCGCACGACAACTGCACTGTATTGCGCCAACTTAACCATTTTACGAAATCATCTGGTCTATGTTAATATCTTCTTCCTTAAATGCCAATTCACGCCACATCCACATGACAGTAAGGCATACGATATAAACTAAACCTTTGAAACACTAAAAAAACAACAATTTTTTTAGTTTTTACCTTCTCGGTATATTCGTACAAATGATTAATGGACTTCAATTTCAGCCTTAGTTCGGTGGTTTTCCTTTTCAAAAATTTACACCGCATTACATTACTTACAAAATTAAAAGGCTCAAATCTGCATTTCCAATGCAACACTGAGTAACAATATTTGACACGCCTGTGCAAAAGTTACTCGAACTGACCGTTCCCCCCTTTTCTCATGGTTCCTTTATTCGTACACGATGGGGTCGCGGTCCCGGCGGTTTTCCTGCACGTCTGAGGCTACTAAACAAACGAACGTTAGGCTGTGTCCTGCCGTCACGCCTCATTCTCCACTTCGTCCTATTCCCCGTAGGAATTTGAACGTGACGCCAGAAGCTGGGGGGAGCCTGTGCCATTTTCCTCTTTGTATTCACCCCTGCGCGGTATTTAGCCACTCTGCCCTTTCGACTTTGACCCTTCGGGCAAGGCCGCTTTTCCGAAGTCGTCGAGCTGAACCGCGCGCTTCGTTGGGGTGACGCACCTCCCTTTCTCCCTCCACACCTGACTCGCCGCTTGTGCCTCCATGAACAGCCCCATTGACGTTTCCTTAAACGGATTAGTGGCCTAACCTTTCGTCTTTCGCGGGGCGGTGTGGACTAGTCCTATGCTTAGGCAGTGCCGAACGCTTTTCGCTTCTTCCTTTTTCTGCGATGTTTGCAAACCTGCTCGGTGTTATCGCTGCACTGCTGAAGCGTGGCGTTCTGCCCTCAACAGCCACTGCGCTAACCATGCCTAAATTTGACAATTCGAAAGGTCCCCCTGAGGCACGAAGAAGGTTTCCAGCCTCTTACTGGGGCCCATTAGGGCTGCTTGCACCCTCTTCATCCGCGCAAGAGCGTCTTTCGACATCGTCCCCACCTCCAGACCGGCCACGGCCTCGTTCTCTACATCATTTACATGGATGCATTCGAGAATATGCGGGCCCTTCTCTGGCGCGATCTCTGTTCTAGCGCTTCAATGACGCGCCACAACTTCCAGCGCTTTGTGACGCGCCTCACTTTCAGACTCCGGTCTGATTCTTTCTTTATTTTGGCTAACAGAAGTTCCGAATCTTCTGATTAGCTCTGATTAGCACTTCGTAGTGTTCGCGTGCTGCTCACTGAGTCGCGCAACAACAGCCGCTGCCTCGCAGGGCAGAACCGTGCGTAGCCTCTGAGACCAGGTGTCTCGCTCACACTTAAGTTGACTACCTTTCGTTCAAAGAGTCTAAGAATACAGGCCCATATCCCCTGATACCTCATATGGCTGCATGTACCTAGACATCTCGAACTCTGCCTCATTGTCGAGAAGAAGTACTCCTCGCTGGGTCCCAACCTCATACTCAACTCATAATCTGATTGAAAACTTTCTCTTGAGGCCTAGTTTTTCGTGTTCACTCTTTCCTTCCATCTGAGCTGCTCTTAGTTTTCTTTCGATGATGAGGTCCCATTCTTCACTCAGTTCCTCATCATCAGCCCCCAATCATTATCGCTTGAATGATTATGGTTTTCGTGCCAAACCCTTTGTATCGATCCCCAATTCCTCACACAACAGCAACAAGTCTGACTTCTGCAGCTCCCGTAAGTCCATGATCGTACTGAGTGCTCGCTACTTTCCAAAAAAACTTTCCGAAAACGGCGAAACTGAGTCTTTCGGCAAAGTTAACTACCAGTTCTAAATTTAATCCTCTTTTAGAACCTGGTTCACTCAAAGGAAAAGCCAAGCACTCACCCATACGTGATCCATGTCTCGAGCCAGCTGCTTCTCCTGGGCCGACTGTTTTGTCACTTGTAGCTTCGAATCCCTCCGCTGCCAACCAGTTGTCGCGGGTCGGAAGGAAGGTCGAGTCGTATCCCACCGCTGACGACCAGTTGTCGGGAATACAACCGATGCCAACCAGTTGTCGTGATCCCAGCGCTGATCACCAGTTGTTGTGGCTCGGGGTGGAAGGTGTAGCGTGGTGTAGCTTCGGATTGAGGAAACGAGCGCTTACAAGATGGTGATACGAAAAACAAACAAGGTTTATGGCACTATTTACAAATATTTACAGCATGAAGTTAAGAGTTCGCAAACCACGAACGTGGTGGTTGAACCTTTTTTTGGTTCAGAGCGTTCACAAACTACGAACGTGGTGGTTGAACCTTTAGTTGGTTCAGAGCGACGTCCTGCACTCTGCGGCGCCGTTATAAGCCCTGTCGGGCTCCTCCTTCTTCAGTGGAACACCAATCACATACACACACAACAGGTGAGGGGTACGAGCATGCACGGCGCACGTGAACACACGATAGCACTGAGTGCACAAATACTCCTTTCAGTTACTCCTGACCACCTGTCGAAGTGAAGCATCCGCGCCATAGTCATTTCTAAGGTGCGGTCGCTTTCGTTCAGCAACACGATAACGTGTTGCTGAACTTCTTTTATGAAATGCCTGTACAAAAGCAAAGTCCCCGAAAAAAAAAAAAACACACGTTAAACTCACCCAACTGCACGTCCGTAGAAGAAAGGGGCAGGTAATCCAATCTCTGCGAGACACCACAGGTAGACGTCGCAACACTCGGTCGTCGTCGGAGAACGGCATTTCAAACCCAAGTGCCGCGTTCGTTATCCGAGCGTCGAACTTTCGGCGGCGACATCTTCCGATGAATCGGCCAATGCGCACTTTTGAAAATGGTTCGTAAAGAAAAAACAGAGAGAGAGAGAACTTTTAACAGAAAAAAAGGAAGATCTCGAATGCAACGAACACAAGCACGCACTACGGCGACACTTCTGCTGTCAAATGCAACTCTTGGGCACACCAGGCGACGGCAGCAGTTCGAAGTTCAAGCGACGACGTTGGCGGACGCTACTCCCGGCACTGACCTCGGAAGGCGGAAGCAAAACAAAAGAGCGAGAGAAGAACCAAATGTTGGTTGAAGAAGAGCGAGGTCCGCTAGAAACAACGAGCGCCGGCGAAAGGTGAGGGAGAAGAGACGTCCACAGCTGACAAGTAGTAGGGGCCGCGCTTCCAAGCACCGCGAGGAGCTGGAAAAGACGTGCAGGCGCCGGCACCAAGCGACGAGCTTGCCCGACGACGTCGAGAACTTCACTGCGCCGAAGAGCGCGCGCGGGCGCACGGGAACGCTCTCCACCGGGAGAGAGAGAGAGAGAGAGAGTAGACGGCGGCACGCACACCCACACACGCGCGCAGGCGGCGCGGCGGTCTACGAGCTTCCACCGCGCAACGCTTGCTGCGCCGAATCGCGCCGCTCTTCTGGCGAGCACGCCCTTTGGCCAGCGCGCGCGCCTTCCTGACGTCGGAGGTGAAGACGACAAGAACGCCGCGCCTTGCGGCAAAGCGCGCATGAGGGGAAAGTTTTCGAAGAGGAGGGCGCACCGCACGCGCTGAGAAGGGAGGGGGCGGGGGCTATTTTGTAAGCGTTTATTCAAGAACGGTGGAGGAATCGAAAAAAGGGAACGAGGAGGAGGAGGAGGAATAAATGAGGAAGGACAGGGAGGAAAAAGGGAACGAAGCAAACAGGCATTAGGCGAGCTGAGAAGTTGTATTAATTCGAATTTCTTCATGCGTTGAAAGGGAACGAAGCAAACAGGCATTAGGCGAGCTGACAAAATTCAGAAATGCTGTCAAAGCACGAACAAATTCGAATTAATACAACTCAAAATCAATGTTGAAAAGCATTTTTTTTTCAAAGCTTTTAGATTGCAGAGCTGTATGACGTTAACAACTCATTTGTGTTAACGTATTGACTGGACGTAGGTGGTGTCACAATTTGATTAGTCGTTCGGTGGAGAAGTTCGCCACGGGATTAGAGTAAGCCAGACGCAAAACAGGCTAATTCGATTCTCCGGGCACGAGTACTTGCGCTTCAATCCAGTTCATGTCGTCCGGACACCATTTTGTATCTTATCGATAGAACGAGGCCTCCGGCCGTTCTACGCACACTCCGTGGCTATTCTCAGTTTTTGACTGTCAGAATAGCCTCGACCAATCCCGTGTGTATCTTCCTCGTCCTTTTGTCCGATCCCTCCTTACAAAACAGAATGCGCATGTGTATTAGCAGGAAGCATAGATGTTGGCATTCGTCAGATAGTATGGTCTAGGCTGAGAATACATATAAGTCTCAAGTTTACTCGGCTGCATCCCGCAGGTCCCGGGATCGAATCTCGGCTGCGGCGGCTGCATTTTCAATGGAGGCGAAAATGCTGTAGGCCAATATGGTCAGATCTGGGTGCACGTTAAAAAAAAAACACAGGTGGTCGAAATTTCCGGAGCCCTCCCCTATATACGGCATCTTTCATAATAATATGGTGGTTTTGGGATGTTAAACCAGACATATCAATCTAAAGCTTATCTCTAAAATGATAATCTGGACGTTACTTATGATATACAGCGTTCTTGTTCCACGGTTATCAGTCAAAATATGGTGACGGTTTGACGCGCCTCACGAAAAAAAGACGTAGAAGAATCGTGAGAATAGGGTGTAAAATTAATGGAGTCTAACACACAATCAAGCCAAGGATGGTATAAGGCATGCCCACTTAGTTTTTTTCTCATTTCTATCACAATTACTCCAAATAGCATCCCCTGCACTTTCCTCGGCTCGATTATGTCCGACAAAGAAGAGAGAGCCCTTATGTTTCCACTTCTATCCTTCAATAATAGCGAGGGCCTCGTTATGGCAGACTTCATGCCTTCAGGTATAGTACGCGAGGTATACTATTGGTCACCTACGAGCTCGTAAAAAGATTGCATGCTACGCGACACCAGCGGGCAGAAAAAGAAAAGTGTTCCACACTCGTTGCCATGGCTGCGGGAGGAGGTACGTGATCAACATTTCGAAGTGCACAGAATTACCCGATATTGTGGACGGAGTTGGGGTGATCGTCACCGCGGAGCTCAATCGGTAAAGCATCAGACGCGTTACGAGGGTTCCAGGGTCAGTCCCATGCCGATGGCGAGACAACTTTTCTTCCACTTCAGTTTCTTCTCATTTCTACAAATAATCTAAATAACATCCCCATGACTTGATTGTCTGTTACCTGTAAATAATGTTGTGTCGAGACACCACAAAAATCACTACACAAACTCCTCGGACTTTTATCGTCATCTTGGGGTCTTTCACCGCACGTAACATATAATATCAATCGAAAACTGGCGTTTTCGATTTGAAGCATGTCATCTCCCCGCGAACGGCGCTGTAAAGAAAGCCTCTATATGTATCCAGCACATGGATGCACGAATTGTTTCATTCTCTTGTCAGCGCGCAATCACGCACACCCACGCATGTACACAACGTAGCTTTCACGTGATTCATTCAGCAGAAACATTCATCAGCCCTTCGCAGAAACTGAACATTGAAAGCACTACAAATTGATATGTTGGATTTAACGACCCAAAACCACCATACATGATTATGACAAGACACCGCAGTGGAAGGATCTGGAAATTTCGACCACCTGGGGTTCTTTAACGTGCACCCAAATCTGAGCACAACAGGGCTACAGCATTTTCGTCTGCATCGAAAATGCAGCCGCCGCAGCCGAGATTCGATCCCGTGACCCGCGGGTCAGCAGCCGAGTGCCTTAGCCACTATAGACCACCGCGGCGGGGCAAAAGCACTAATGAAAGAGAAATCAATACCCGATTTTTCGTTCAACGCGAAAGTATTCTATCTCCCAGTTCAGTCGAGTGAAACGTTTACACATCAAACAAAGCAGAAGGCAGGAAAAAAAAAATAAAAAATCTGTTTTTAATTTGCGCAGTTATTGAGGCCGTAATGACACCAAACGTAGTCATACCGCATGATAGCTCCTTGGTTTATAATGCCGGCATGAATGGAAGCTCGTATAGTTAATGCCAGGTAGGAGTTGAAGACGTTGCCAGCGTCAACTGTCAAGCACTCGGTAGTTTAGGACGATTGTGACTCAGACTGTGTGCTATATAGTTAGATGGTATTCTGGTGGTCACAGAAAAACGGCTATATAGAGCAACTGAGAGTCAGCGCCGTCTTTTCGTTCTTTTTTTTTTTTTTACTTCTTCCTTGTGTCTGTGTTTCTGGTGTTGCGCTGTAAACAAGTTCACGATGAATTGGGCAGCTTACGTAAGCTTACGGAATTACTTATTCAGCAAGAATCAAAACGAGTTTGTTGGAGGAACATGAGATATGCCTTTGACCTGCAGTGGACGTACACTCAGACTGATGAAGATAAAGATGATGACTATGATGATGATGATGTAAGCAGGACTAAACAGGTCTCGTTAGAGGCGTTCACATATAGTGTCAAAAGGAGTCGCAAGCGACTCGATCAACCACCACGGTGTGGTCGCAGTGTCAAATCTCTATAACAAGCAATGCAAAAGAAGGAGAAGCAGCTTGTAGTGCCGCGCAGCGCTTCGATCTCGAAACTACGAGGTTACAGCCGGCGAATGGCGCGCACATCACATTTCGCTACATAGATAGATATGCAGGTGGAGGTTTAACGTCCCAAAACCACCATATATGATTAAGACAAGACGCCGTAGTGGAGGGCTTCGTAAATTTCAACCACCTGGGGGTCTTTAACGTGCACCCAAATCTGAGCACAACGGGCCTACAGCATTTTCGCCTCCGTCGAAGATGCAGCCGCCGCAGCCGGAATTCGATCCCGCGACCTGCTCAGCATCCGAGCACCTTAGGCACTAGACTGCAGCGCGGCGGGGCGCAATTCGCTACGCTGCAGGCGAAATCGTGCAGCTGTGTGCAGCTCCCACGAGGGTGCAGCAAGAGGGCGGCGATGGCGAGAGATGACGCAGCTCACTCGTTTCCACGGTGTAAGAATGCTCGTTTCGTAAGCATTCCGCGTGGCCGCAGAGGAACTTCCGTGCCCTTTGTTTCCTTATATATTTCTTTTATCTTTTTTTCCGCATCTTTCGCAGCAACGCAAAGAGCGCACCCTTTTGTCTTGCACGCTCTTTTGCAACTACAATTCATGCGCTTTTTTCCGCGGAACATCGACATCAGATAAACGAAAAAAAAAGAGAAATGCATTTGTCAGAACGTTGGCTTCCTGCGGAACCCAGGGGACGCTGTGCGACGGCGGCACATAGCGCCCTATGGGGTCTGGAAATGTGGGACTGATAAAATGCATCGCTCAGTCTACATATTCCCACAGGCATGCGAGTCTCCCTGTCCCTATAAAAAGAGGTTGAGAGAGAGAGAGAAAAGCATGGATGGGTCTACAACATCGCAAGCAATTGAGAAACTCGATCAGGGACCGTTTTTTTTTTTTTCCGGCGGCCTACACAGTGTTTGTTACATGTACATCATGCATTATCACTTACGCACTAGTGCCAAATGTTGCATATACGCTAATGGCCCTACACATTTATGAAGTGCGCAAGTTGGCGGTATAACTGCAAGATGAGGAAGTTGAAGATCAAACATATATACTTGCACATGGAGGTGGATTATCCGCCTTCCGCGGCACCTATCGATTCCTGTACTCCTTAGAAAGAAGGTGTCCTTTCTAAAGGAATTGAAAACAAGTTCGATCGCCGCCAAATAAACTGGAACAGACGACTTAGAAAAATAAACGAAAAAAAAGGAACTGATAATGCTTACGCGTGCCTATACATGCATGTGCGTGTACATGGCTTCTTGTTGTCGAGAGAGTTGCCGAAAGCGGAGTGTTTTCTAAAGGTCATTCGCAGCTAGGAACAAGCACAAAAGTGCGGTCGTCGCACAACTGAACATATATACACGCATACCCATTGCTCTGACGACTCCCGCAGGTCGCGGGTTCAAATCCCGGCTGCGGCGGCTGCATTTCCGATGGAGGCGGAAATGTTGTAGGCCCGTGTACTCAGATTTGGGTGCACGTTAAAGAACCCCAGGTGGTCGAAATTTCCGGAGCCCTCCACTACGGCGTCTCTCATAATCATATAGTGGTTTTGGGACGTTAAACACCACAAATCAATCAATCAATCAATTGCTCTGACGACACCGGGGCCGATTCCGGCTTACGACTACCCGAACCATTTTGGTGACAACGAATTTGCCACAATGTCATTCATAACCTC